ACTGGAAAAGGAAAACAACAAGCTATTGACTTTGATCTCCAAACAGCTGGAATCAAGATCTTCAAGCAGCTTTGTTGACAGTGAGGCTGATCTTTCCATCAACACCTGTGTTCATGACCCAGTGAACTCAAAGATTAGATTAGCTCCTGTGATTGTCAAACACAGAAGGACTAACGTTGAAATTGACAATGAGGAGGGCTATGAAGACAGTGGAGAGAGACGAACTCGCACTGTGACAAAAGTGGTAAAGAAGTATGTTCCATACAGGACATACCATCCAGCTACTCCAGAGCAAGTTGACAAATGGTCAAAAGAGCTGCCAGATGTATACAAACAACCACGAAAGGTTTGGCAGTTTCTTCAACGACTGCAGAAAATCTACATTTTACATCCACTAGATGGTGTGATGATTCTTAATGTCACCCTAAGAGACAGTGACCAAAAGAGACTCACAGAAAGTGTTGAAAGAAGGATTGGTGAATCACAAGAAAACATAGAGGATGGATGGGAAGCCATAAAAAACTTCTTGTTTGAACTGAAACCTGCAGAGGTCAATTGGGCAAGAATTACCTCATGCATGCAGAAAACTGGAGAAAGTGTTGCAGAGTTTGAAGAACGCTTCAGACATATATGGACGGAACATTCTGATCTGAATACAAGTGAAGATCTTGACAAAGACACTGGAATTCCCCTGAAAACAGCATTTGTCAATGGACTCAATCCTGAGATTTCTAAAGATCTTAAAATCAGGTATGATGACTGGGACAGCACTGTAACAACTTTCATCCAGATTGTTGAATGGTCAGCTAAACTGGAGAGAGCACAAGATGTCAGACTCAGATCTTTGCAATCGAAAAGTTTGTTTTACAAGAACAGAACAATTGAGGATGAGCAAAAAGAACGTGAGTATATGGGATACTCAAAACTACGAACTAAAGGAAGATGCAGAAATTGCAATGAAGAAGGACACTGGGCCCGTGAGTGCAAGCTCAGTTTAAAACATCAAAGCCAAGATGATGACCACCTGTTCAAGCAGTTTCAGCAGCTAACAATACAACAAAAACAGACTCTGCTAAATGCTGTACAGCCGCAGGGAAACTGAAGAACCTCTCTCTGCAGCACCAGCTAGTGACGTCTTTTCCAGAAGCTGATGAACTGAATGTGTATGCAAACAATAAGGTAAAAGCTGACACAGAAGTCTCAACAGATGAAGACAAGTTTGATGTCCTAGTAGATGGTGTTGCCAAACAAGCCGTAAAGGAGAGAGGTGAACATACAGCGGCATTAAGACAGCTTCAGAAAGACCACGGATCTTTAGTCTTAGACAGAATGCAGACTGCAAATGAAAAGTCTCCAAAAGAAATGCTGATGGACGATGCACAAGAACTGCGTGATGGCAATCAATGCAGTATGGATGGAAACAGACTATGCCCTTTTGAACATCCCCCAAGCCAGCCCATGTCCACAGAAAACCTGACATCTGACAGCCTTGTCCAAAACAAAGCAAGACTCAGCCTGGCAGTACATGAGGACAATAATCAAGTTTTGTCACCTCTGAAGAGGGGCCATAGTTTAGAGCCCAGTAAATGGGTAAAGACACGACAACCTCAGAAACTACCACTAAAATCCAAGTGGAAGAGCTCACTTGAGAAAGTTTTAGTATCTGATTCAATAATTAATGTTCAGGGACTTGATGAATGGATCAACGTGAGTTTGCCTAGAGACGAGGGATAGATGACAGTAGTGTTTTTCAGAGTCCAGATATGGCGGGACTAGAGTTTTTAGGCTCTAGCTTGTCGCCTGAGGATGAAGACATTAACCACCACTGATAAACACTGTAGTGTCCTGTCAATATTAAATAGGGACAGTTTCTATACTTTCTATAGGCAGTTTGAAAATTTCTCTGAAATCTTTTTCTGGGCAAGATACGTTTCCCTTTTCCCTTTTGTGTGATTGCAGGTGTTCCAGAGGATGACCAGAGACACACAACACCAGACACCTAGATGAACACACCTGAACATCCACAGAACACAACCACATCCTGCTACTTCTACAACATCACAACTTTAAATAGAAATGGACTCAGGCATTTGAGGAAATGCAAGCTTCACCATGACTTCTTATTCTGTCACTTTAAGTTATATAGCCTGTATTGCAGATTTCTGTATACATGATTAACTTGTTTTATGATCAAATATGATCAGAGGAGGGATTGAAAGATTATGTGCATTTTAGTTCAGTTGCATTTACATTGATTAAACTCTGATGTGATATGATGGGGTGACCTGTGCCTCGACTCCCACAAACTGATAGGTGTGAACTAAATGACCCTTTTACAATCTCAATGGGTATTAGCAAAACAACAGCTGAAACATCTGAAGAGGGTCCTGCTGAGCCTCGTAAACAGAATGGTTTGTTTGATGCTAATATAAAGTACTGTCTCACAGACAGTACTTTGAGTTAAGTTCTTGAAGACCGACGGGTTAACATCACTGCTGAGGATCTGCACTATTCATTGTCTTCAATAAAGTCTTCTCTCCGTAAGAACTTTGGTCAGCTTACTTATTTTATGTGTTAGAGTAATCTAATACATTGGCGAGCCCCCCAAGAACGGTTAAGCCAAATACAGCAAAATCTAACAGCACTCAGAATCATTTGTCATTTGGATTTAAGGTAATAATCCTGTAAATAATTTTTGTGCAAAGAAAAAACATTTTGTTTCCTCTTTAAAGTCCTGGTAGCCAGGGGCACCGTTGGCCGGTAAGGGCTCTATGGTAACATACTTGATGAGCAGGGTACTCGCGGACAGAAGTGAAGAGCGTGGGGATTGATTGGGCCCCCTAATAATAACTCTGGGGCCCCCAAAACGGCATGGGCCCTAAGAATTGTCCTAACTTTCCCCCTAACGGCGCTCCTGCTGGTAGCTGTAGCACAAGGACCACATCTTCAGCTAAAATAATGTTAATTGTCAACTGAATAAAAATGTCACGTACATTTGGAATAACTTGAGGGTGAATTAAATTAACAGCAGATTTTAATTTCTGAGAGAACTTTTCCTTTAACTTATTAAATAAAAATATACAAAATACATAATACAAAACAACAAATAAAGCACAAATGGAATGGCAAGACAGGAAAGAAATACATCCAGATAACTAAAAATGGATGTTTGCAGCTAAACTGTGGTAAAAATTCTCTGTTCCGCATAATCATGCTGCAGAGTGAGGACACGGTTCAAGCTATGGCTACAAGACTTGAAACTTGAAGGCCCTGTATTGTCACCACACCAGTAAAGGCTAGAGAGTCTGCCATTTTACGAGGGATCAAGTCACAATTGTTCAGGATTGTCTTTTGCTTTTTTTTTTTTTACTCTAGTTTTTTTTCATGGATGGCATTTGTGAACATGAGAAAATTCAAGCAGGAGGAAGAGTGAGGCTGGTGTTCGGGAGGCACAACATCGTCAATGTTTCACGCGTACCGCTCGCTTCCAGTGGATGATGCTACCTTTAGTCCACCAATCACTGCTTCTCAAGCTGACAGACAGGAAATGACGTCATCATCGTTCCTTTTAAAGTAGGTCCTTTCTCTCCAACTCGCTATGCATATACAGTATGTGTGCCAATAGAATGTTAAGTCCCTCTGTTTCGATTGGTCCCCGTGAAAATGAAAGTGTCTCAGTTATGAGGTTAGAAAAAAAGAGCAGCATTCGCAACTTAACAGAATGTGTTTGCAATGCAGTGCAGCATGGGAAATGCAGTCCTTGTCCGTTGTTTTGTTTTCTCTCTCTCTCTTTTTTTAACATGTCTCTTTATGGTCCTCCTTTGTGGAAGGTCAATGTGGCCCATGTTTTCATTTCCGACTGTGCATTGATGTGCTGAAGATGGAGGTTTGCCAAGGCGTTTAGGAAAGGGTTTGAAGCGTTCCACTCAGCACAGCTTCATTTGCATAATGTCCAACATTCCCAGCCAATAGAATTTGAGCATTTTTTTTTGCACTCACCAATTGTGGTTACTTTCAGTAGAGTTGTAAGTGTGCATGTGTAAGCTTGAATGAAAAATCCTTATATATGAATGAGGAATATATATATACTGTATATATGTACAAAGGACATCTGGTCATGTGTATGATTGAAAATGATACATTTTCAGACGCTGACACACTATAACGATTATCATCTACATTGCACCTTCTCCCCAAACCTCATTAGCATTGAACAGATAGAAAAGAAACACTTTTTTCTTGGATCTGTTCTATATCTAAAATGGCTAAATCTGGAGCAAAGCTGCTGCATGGAAAGGTCTGTGATAAAACAACTTTAAAAATTTGTTGATGTGCAGGAATCTAATCTGATAGCAATATTCTGTGCCATAGTGTAGGCACTTTAGGCAGATGACGACATCATTTTGCAGTTGTTTTGGGCATGGGTTCTTAGTTTCCATTTTTCTGTCTCGAATACGAAAGGTCTGGACTCTCTGATCGCTCTCAGAGTGTGATTGTGCTCTGTGCAAGACTACTGCAATGGTGTGTTGAGTACAGACGCCTCTTGCATTTTGTGGTTTCTGATCATCTTGTGATAAAACATTTAACAAGTCATCTCAGCCCTCCAAAAGGGATTAAGCCCTGCTGGACTCAAAGGTAAGGACATTTGATGAAGACACTGGCATGGACATCAAGCTGTCATGAGAAATGTGTGATAGGTAGCTTTAAAGAAAGAGCATAGGCAGAGTTTGAGGGGTGTCTGGGGGAAGCGAGTGTTCAGAGCTGGAATGGAGTGTGTGTGTACAGTGCTCAGAATAATTAAGTACACCCCATTTTAAAAATGAATATTTTTATCCATTTTTAAGTGAATATCGGCAATGCATTTTGGTGCATTTAAACAAAACAGATTTAGTAAACGGTTATATTTATTAAATTAATATTTTAGTCAACAAACATATTTAGAAATTGAAAGATAATACAATTAAATTCAGCAAAAAATGTACAACCTACAAAATTTCAACTAAATGTTTTCGATTTTTTACTTCTCTTGATTTTTCTTCTTTTTAAAATGTGTATTTAATATTTTTCTATATAATCTATATACAAGCTTTTGGACCATTATCTTAGGTAGTTTTGTTAGATAAGCTCCAGATTTGGCTTCATAACTGACTAATCTAATGTATATGCACAAATATATTATTGTATAGATTCCTAATAAATATATAATTTAAAAGAGAGATTTGTGAAGGGTGTACTTATATATGCTGAGCACTCTATATATAAAATCAAATTAGTGATCATTTATTACATATATTATACTGTCAAAATAAGTGCACCCGTGTTCTTGTTCTTTGTCTTAATCTTTGTATTTATCATAATGTTTTTTGCTGTGTTAAACATTAAGTCACTGCAGTCTTCCTTGAGAGCATTTATTCTTATTTATATGTATGCCCAAAATTAGCTTGCCAAGTAGTACCTGACAAGTCTTAAATGCATGTCCATTTTGGCAGGTAACGTTATTTGGAATAGCAGAACAATTTATGTTTTTATTTAAACATTTATTTAACTAGTTGGACTGCAAGATCTCAGAACTTTTGGAAAGAACTATATCCCTCCAAAATTATTCAACTATTTTGCCTATTAATCCAGCAAAATTGTACTTATTATTTTTATTTATTTACTCATTTTTTTGAGGTAGTATTTCATATAAAAAAATGAAATTTGTGTATTTAACAGTATTTCTATGTGAAAAATGTAATAAATTTTAATTAAATTGAATTACAATTGTATATAATTGAAATGTGCACATTTGCAATTGGAAACTATTTTATGTTAGTGCCTAATTCATATATATATATGCGCAGCTCTCACTAATGATTGTAATGTTAAGGTAAATGAGCTTTTTTGTACACAAAAACAGATGAATTAGCCACTATTTCACCAAAAATAGTTTTTTTTTCTGTGTCTGGCTGAAAATAGTAATTGCTGGCCAGTAAATAAAATTGTTAAATCATTATGGCTGTCCGTAAGTATGCTTTAAATATACCTCTGAACAACCTCGTCTGCCATTTTGCTTCTCAAGTGAGCTGAAACTCTGCCTATGGGCTTTAAGTGTATATTTATGTAAGTGCACATAGCTACATGTATCTTTCCAGTCCTAGTATGCCGTTACGTCTGTGTGTGTGTTGATGAGAGAGAGACGGACAGCACCAGCCTGTGTGCAGTGCTTAGTTCTGCTGCAGTATGAGGTTCTCCAGCTCATCGGCGGAGCGGAGCAGGAAGGCAGCAGACTCGCGATATCCAGCAATCAGTTGCCGGACAGCTGTGACCTCAGGTGGGCTGAGCTGAGCAGACGCTCCTCCACCACCTCCACCTTGACCATGACTATTTGAACTGGAGGAGGAAGTGCTGTTGGATGCCAAAGATTTCATACTGAGATCAGTAGGACCTGAATGAGAAAGAAAGAGACATTAGTTTAAATTAATATCTAGTAAATCTATATTAAAAGAGAAGAATCTGGCTGCTGTATACTGGTTTTAGGGTGAAAAATGAAGATTCTGATCATTCTGATAAAATACTATTATGAGATATAACTGATAAATGTAATAATTCAATATTTTAATTAATACATTTAAATTAATTTAATTAATTTATTATAATGAATAAATAAATAAATAAATAAAAATAATGTTACCCTGAGCTAGAAGTTGCAGAGACTTTTATTTCAGTTTTTGATGTACTTCTAACGGAAACGGAATATTGAGTAGGGACGGGGCTTTCTTTTTGTGGATCAATCTCTCATCGCAATTAATGGGAAGAAGGGCTTGGTTAAGAATAATGAAGTCGTCAAACTGATGTCAATGTTAAGCACTGCCATTTTTTGCAAAGGAGTCACATGCATTCAATTCAATTTGCCTGTAAATATATATATTTTAACTCAATCTGCCAGCACCTGATAACTTACAAGGACCACACTTTCAGATAAAAATCTTCTTTACTTTTCTACTGAAGAAAAATCATCTACATCTTTGATGAGTGAGCGTGAGTAAATTAAAAGCAAATATGAAAATATTATTACTGTAAACATTCTTATATTTATGGAGATAGATACAACTACATTCTTCCTCGGTAATCTATTAGATTTGTTTTTCTTTTCTTTTTTCCCCAAAAAATTCAGTATAGCAGCTGACTTTTATGCCCTGATGGTGATTAATTTACCAGATGACTTTATTTATGTATGGGTGAAATGTCCATTTAAACTCACCATAAAATAACCCCAAGAGTCAAGACAAACAATCACTCAAATGCCATCACCGCAAAGCAAACCATAGTAATCCAATCAGTTCCCAGTAAATATAAACCAAGTAGTGCCCTTCATTTTATCTTCTAAAACAAACTGTTTTTACTTAAACATACAGTTGAAGTCAGAATTATTAGCCCTCCTGTGTTTTTTCTTTCTTTTAAAAATATTTTCCAAATAATGTTTAACAGAGCAAGGAATTAGGCCCTGTTTACACTAATACGTTTTAAAATGCATACGTTTTGCTACGGTTACCCATTTCGTCCACACTACCCCAGAGTTTTTGAGCCCTGAAAACGGACCTTTTAGAAAATCCTGAAGAGGCTGTTTTTATTTTAAAACACTGCTGCTCCATGTCAGTGTGGATGGGGAAAATAGATAAATCTGAAAACGGAGAAGTGGCTGCAGACATTCGAGTATCTGACTGAGGCCTTTTCTCAATATTAAGTAGGCTACACAAAGTTCAGTCTTGCATCCTCTCCTTGTCAGTTCAGACTTCGCAGGTTCGATATGGAAAACAAATTTTTCAAAGGGAACAGGCAACTTTATAACCTCATTCACATCCCCCTGGCTATAAAATGAACTGAGGATACATATTTAAATGAGCATCATCTTCACTGTATGCTTATTTATAACAAAACGGAGCCTATAACATAGTTGTCTTCTTTCTTTTCAATAATCAATAATGGCGATTATAAAAGTATAACGTACAATAAGTTTATACATCATAGAAAATAAATGCAAGCAATCAGTCAATATGCAGAATCCGTTTTATGATTATGATTACATAAATTAATATATTATCTTATCGTTACCTAAGAACAAGTAGTAGATTCAAAAGACCATAGTCAGTGAATATGTCATTAGATATAGACAAGATGAATTAAATATCATGTTTAACAAATATAGTGAGATTAGATCTAGCAGTAGACCCTTGAAGAACCGACCGATGTGCACAGCTCTCACCTGGGGTTCTGTGCTCAAAGCACCTGGAACACCTTTTCATTCTAAACGCCTTTTTAAAAACTAAAATGAATGAGTGTAAATGGAATTTTTTTTATTTCAGCTAGAATATTTTAGGCAATATTTCAGCAATATTTTTAGAAGACATCATCTTTATACAATGATTTGCCTAATTACCCTAATTAATGAATCTAATTAAGCCTTTAAATTGCACTTTAAGCTGAATACTAGTGTCTTGAAAAATAGCTAGTAAAATATTATGTACTATCATCATCGCCTAAGAAAACAAATCAGTTATAGGAAATTAATTATTAAAACTATTATTTATAAAAATGTGTTGAAAAATCTTTTAATTAAACAGAAATATACAGGCGGGCTAATAAATCAGGAGGGCTAAAAATTCTGACTTCAACTGTATATCACAAAAGGAAAGAAAATATTTCAAATGACATTTCATGCTGAATTAAAAACAAACAAACTTCAATCTCTGCATTTCACTCACCATTGGTTTGTGATGTGCCGTTGTTTTGGAGGTTGTTGCCAAGGGTCCCGTATCCACGAAAACTGTAGTTAAGTCCACCATTGGTATAGAGTTGGTCCTGGGAGTAGGCCGAAGCAGCCAGTGTAAAGCCTGAGTGAGCCAGAGCAGCCGGGTCTCTGGAGTTCGGCTTGTCTGCTGTAGTCGACTCATCCTGAACAGAAATAAGGCAAAGCGTTACTTTCTGTAATGAATTTAATCCGACTGACGATCTAGAGAACAGCGCACACATTGACTCACATGGGCCTGATAGATGTCAAGGCGCATCCTCTTAGCAGCGTTACGCGTTTCACTCTCACAAGCTGCTGCGAGGATGTTCTCAGCCATGGCGGAGGTGAGGTGAGGAGGTGTGGGCCGCGACTGACAGCATCAGAGAGAGCAGGAAAAGATCAGTTCATGCATTCTTGACTATGCAGTCATTTAGTGAGTTTTTAACCTTTAATTAATCTGTTATGATAAATATTGTATAATTTTAAGCTATGCTCTGGAAATGAATGCATTGAAATTGATGTTTTCTGAAAGCATTAAATAAATATATCTTTAAAAAGAAAATTCAAATGAAACGTGGGATAGTCATGACTTGATATTTAAAGATCAATGATGCAACTGCTCAATTACATTTGATCATCTCAAGTGTAATATACATCAGATTTCTAAAGTCTTTGATAGGTCGAAAGAAATCTCTTGTATTTTTCCTAAATTAATCAAAAATAAGTTACATTAGGTTTTACACTAAATTGTTTAGCAAATCTATTAAACCTTTTATTCATTTATTTATTTTTTGGACCATGTTGCACTGAAACAATTTTTGGAATACCCAAAAATACATTGTATTGGTCCCAATTATTTACTCTTTTTTTTTTTTTTTTTTTTTAATCATCGGGATATAAAGCAAGATCATGTTCCATAAAATATTAAATACATATCCTATGATAAATATTTGAAAACAGAATTGCTAAGAATTTTATTTCTAAACTTTTAAAGGCCATTATCTCCATATTAAAATTTTTGAACCCTCAGATTCCAGATCTTCAAGTAGTTGCATCTCAACCAAATATTGTAATATATTAGCATTGTTAGCATTGACTGGTTTTGTTGTTTAGGGCCACAACTGAGGTTTTATTCCTCTATAATTGTTTGATTATGAAATCCTGTGTAATTGTTATTATAATAAGTTTGATTAATCCTTGAAAATTTTAGAACTTTACTTCAATTCATTAATTTTCTTTTCGGCTTATCCCTTTATTAATCAGGGGTCGCCACAGCGCAATGAACCGTCAACTTATCTAGCAAATGTTTTCTACAGCGGATGCCCTTCCATCTGCAACCCATCACTGGGAAACAGCCATACACTCTCATTTATTATATTTATATATTTATAATATTTATTATATATATCTACTAAGTCTTCGAGTTTGGCAAGTTGTTCTGAAGAGATTTTGGATTTTAGTTTCAGAAATCGTAAAAACATTTACAATTTTTTTTGTGATATGATTAAGTCTACGGCCCTGCTTTTGATTTACTTATCCAAATTTTCCAAATTCCATGACATCCCATGATAGTATGTCAATTGTATTTGACTGTTACAGGGCACAATTTTGACTCCACCAGCAGTTTCCAGAAATGCCAGTTTGACAGCATTTAATTCCAGTTAAATGAACTCATATGACAGCTCTACACGTTTTGGATCTCCCTTCCATTAGGCACACCCAGTTCAGGTCTTGCATTAGGCCTTCTGAACTGTGCAGTGGTACTCAAAGAACAGGGTTTTAAAAAGACTGTACACAACCCTATTAACCACTAGAGGCCAGTAGTGTGCTATTGAATAGTGTGAAGCACAAACATGTTCAAGCTGTTACTTTACACTAAACATTGTGTTGTTTTGTCACACAGCATTGGTATTTTTGGCAGATGGTAATGTTTGTTTGTCAAAATATCGATTCCTTACCTCGAAGCCACCCTTCTTCATGCGGCGACAGGATTTGAGGTAGGTTCGGATACGTTTGCGAGAACGTTCTTGGAACTCTGGGAACTGGCGGCTGCAGGACTCTATGATGGCCTGGATTTTCTCTTTAGGCTGCTTTGAAATTGGAACCATCCGGTCCAAGTTCTCATCCACAAACAACCGCACAAACATCTGAAAAAATAAAGAAACACTTTAAGCTGACTAACGCACAAACTACTCGGAAAAAGGAAATAAATTGGAAACAAGATGGAAACTTGAATAGAGGGAGGAATGTAGCTGCAAAAATAACATCTGGTTTAGCATTTAGAGCAAAATAATAATTCAGGTTCAAAAGGCCATTGAAATACTTCTGTTTATATTCACAGTTTTTCCTCTTATTACCAGCATGATGGCTTGAGAGAAAAATTTGAGACATAGAAATTGAAAAATTAATGTCATCTTTTGCTTTAGTAACAGTAGCACTCAGTCAGCATAAACTCCACAGTTGTATATATAACTTTATCATATTCATTGTTATTTCTTTATATAATGATTATATTATATATGAAATATTAATATTCAGATTTAACTTTGAGTAAGTAATGTAAATACTTTAAAGGTGTCTTCATAGATTAGTCAAGTCTCCCTAAAATTCAATGTAAAAAATGCAAAGCCAGAATAAATTATTCCTGCACTGAAGTCAGAATTATTAGTCCCCCTTTGAATTTATTTATTTTTTATATATGTATTTCCCAAATGATGTTTAACAGAGCAAGGAAATTTTCACAGTATGTCTGATAATATTTTTTCTTCTGGAGAAAGTGCTATTTGTTTTTATTTTATTAAAAAACAGCTATATTTTTTCATTAGTCTACAGAACAAACCATCGTTAAACAATAACTTGCCTCATTAACCTATCCTGCCTAGTTAACCTAATTAACCTAGTTAAGCTTTTAAATGTCACTTTAAGCTGTGTAGAAGTGTCTTCAAACATATCTAGTCAAATATTATTTACTGTCATCATGGCAAACATAAAACATATCAGTTATTAGAAATGAGTTATTCAAAATATTATGTTTAGAAATGTGTTGAAAAAAATCTGCTCACTGTTAAACATAAATTGGTGAAAAAATAAATGGTGGCTAATAATTCAGGGGGGCTAATAATTCTGACTTCAACTATATATGCATTAATCCCAAATTTGTATTTATTTATGCTTATGTCTTTCAAGGACCGTTCCATTAAGAAGAACAGAAATCTTTTCCTCCAGGGCTAAGATGACCGTACAGAAACCCGTTTACATATAGCCAAATTTTAGAAAAATATGACAAACAAAACGTAAAACAAAAATGATATATCTAAAACAGTGGGATCACATATCAAGCTTAATTAAAACACCAACATGGCTCATTCAATTGACACTGCAATAAATGCTTAAAATTAGTCAAAGAAGGAATTGCTTTTAGTTGCGTATTAATCAAAACGTTATTCCACAGCCAGGGATTATAAGAAGAAAAAGCTCCTATCCATTGTTCAGAATGAACTCCCGGCTTTTCTAATTCAATTCCAGATGAAGAAATTTGAGCATTAAACAGTCTGTGTAAAGACACCTAAACGCCATTTTAGAAGTGCCTCTTTGTCAACTTTGCATTGTAAAATTCTCCCAATTTAAATTAAATAGTATCCAATACCAACATTAAAATTTTCCAAAACCAAATCTGCACTGCAAGGGGGCTCAGAAGCACCACTAAAATGGCAATTAGGTATCATTCTAAAACTTTTATCGTTCCAGGATTAAACAGATGTTTAAAAACACTCAAATATGGTGCCTCCAAAGATAAGCAGTGTAGGCTACAAGTTTTTTAACAGCCAGAAAAGGGTTATATAAAATATCAAATCTAATGCAAGCCATATAAAATGGAAGTCAGTCTCACGTTAAAAGCTTTAAGTCGTTCAGGGTCCAGACCCTCGGCATCATTTATCTTGTCGCTGTCGTCGTGGTCATCGTGATCGTCGTCATCGTCATCTATAACCTGAGAGCGACCCGGGGTCATGTCCTCCCCGCACGTGCTCAGTTCCGTCTTCACAGAGTCATAGCTTCCTGAGCTGTACTGGGGGGACTGGAGAACACATGCGGCATGTTAGGCAAAACCAAATCTGATGCCATGCAAAAGGAGTTAAGTGTTCAGATGCAAAAGTGCCGTATTTAGTTTAAGTTGTTACATTTTTATGGCGATGTAAAAGGTTTTTTCATAGCCTTTAAAGTGAAAAAACTGAATATAATAACCAGAGCAGCCATAGCCAGAATGTTTCAGAAGGCACTTAGAGGCCTTTGCATCTGAGCTCTTCAATTATTAGTTGACATATTAACATGTTCATAATCTCATACCTTGTTTCCATACTCGGTTTTGACTGGGAATTTTCGGCTCGGGTCAGATGCGTAGGATCCGAGCGTCACGCCGGGCAACAGTCTGTCGCTCAGGTTGACGGGCTGCTGTCCCTCCTGTGAGGAAGAAGAGGATGAAGTGCTGAAGTCCAGCGGCGCTGCTGCACCATTACCGTTCACCTCTCCGTAAGGGACCACCCCCTCCGATGCAGGAACTCCTCCGGTCGCCATGGCAGCACCACCAGGCGGAGTCAACGCAGGCAGACCATTCGCAGTGCTGCCATTCTCCGAAGAGGAATCATCTGAGAGAGAGAGGGAGAGACACAAGGAAAGGTTTGACTGTGTTCATAAAGTTGCACGTGTGGATGTTTGAGTGTGTCTAAAGGGGGAAGGAGAGTGTGTTGTGGGAAGGTGTTTGTGCGTGTGAACAGGAGAACAACATTGGGGTCAACTGTCAGAACCAATGGAAGGAGGCGAGGTGAAGAGGGAGACAGCTGGGATGAGGAGAATGGGATGGGTGTGGGGTTTCTAAGTGAACGGGAGGAAGTATTCGGGAAAAGGGAGATATCAGAGGGGGAAGGGGCAAAAGATGAACAAGAAACAAAACACATTCTTGTCCCCTCATTTAGAGAAAGGAACGGAAAAACAAAATGCTTCCAGAGAATATTTCTAGCAAACAAACAAAAAAACACGGTGAGGTGACCAGATGTCATTCAGCAAGTATTTTCACAAGTTTACGTTAAAAAAAATGATTCCCACTTTGTTTTAGGTGGCCTTAACTATTATGTAAATGTATCAAAAACTAAATAGGATGTGCTTTATGTGTTTCTAATGTATTGCAGAGCACTACTGGCACCCTTTGAGGTGGAATACTGGTAAGGTTATGGACAGGGAACAGTATGGATGGGTTTAAAAATGGGTTTAGGTGTAAGAGATGGTCAACAGTGTATTTACATGCAGGTGTTAAAACTAGGGATGTTTCGATCAGAATTTTTGCTGACTGTCGCAAGAACTGATTCTTTGTCAAGGTGATCAGCCGGTAACAAGTACTGATTCTAATGCTTCAAGCATTATAATTCATTTACCACATTTTCCCCTCTAAATATGATACTTAATAACGAGAGATCTTGCCCTACCTAAAAGAGTAAATGAAGGATTCTGCAAATAATACCCTTAAACACATGTGTTTTAACCATTTAGTGTGGGCATGTCATGGCCAGAAGCAGCTTTACAGAAAACAATATAATTCAATTCAATTTATCTTTATTTCTATAGAGCTTTTACAATGTAGATTGTGTCAAGTCAGCTTAACATAGAAGATTATAGTAAACTGAAACTGTGTTAGTCCAGTTTTTCAGAGTTTAGGTTTAGTTTAGTTCAGTTCAGTGTGAACTAAACTGAATATATAATACACAGATATACAAATTGGTAAGAAAAATGACAAACAATGCAATTTGGAAACCTTGCAAATGATAAAAGAAGAATTCAACATGTTTTAATCAAGATGAAGTTTGGAGCACATACAGTATTTGATGCATAAGAAGTTAAAATGCACACCTATAAATCCATTACTTTTTTAGTAAAAAGAAATATGCCTATAAAGTACTGTTTATTGCAGCAAGTATATTACAAGTTATATTATTAACTATTCATGAAAAAAAATAGTCATAAAATTATTGCACCAATAGACTATATAAACAGGCCGCACCGCATCTGTATATATTTTAGCTGTTGTGATGCAAGCTCATTGATCGCTCACGCCCCCACTCATCATTTACCTCCTCATGAATTGTGGCTGCTGTAGGCTATGTATAATATACGGGAGAGCATGTGCGTCTTCCTCTGCTTGTAAACTCATAAACAAACCCCTGCGATCGGTTCATGAGATCGTCCAGATTGGCGAGTACCAATCGAGTCATTACACGTGATTATCGGCCGATATTGGTTTTCGACTGATCGATCAGAGCATCCCTAGTCAAAACATGTACCTACACAATAAGTACATTGTGACAAATGATTAATCTTAGTGGAAGTACTTGTAGGTAAGGCTACCTAAAATAAATTGGGAGCAAGATATGCAACACAGACTTTATTGTAGATGCGTACCCCTGTCTACATTTATGGTGAGCGCAAATTAAGTAGCCAGAGGTATGTCTGGCTGCATTTTGTCTTTAAAACAATCAATCTGGGGTGGTATGATGCCGCCAGCGGCTCCTGATCATTTTAGGGATACCAGCTGACAGCTTTCCTCCATACAGATGACTTTTCTGGTGTTGTGTGTATGTCAGCAAACTTGGGACTAGTTGACCGCGATGACCGGGTTTGAGTTCAGCGAAGAACAATTTCGGAAACCAGGTAAAACAAAAGTTAATAAATAAATAAATAACCAACAGGCTGAAAACACGCGGTCACGATGGCTTTTTTTTTTCTAGATCGACAGCAAGCTGGCCTGGTCGGCTGAAGTGTATATTGCGCCCTCTGGTGGATTTATGCGAGAAGAGGAGGAATTTGTGATCATCAAAAAGCATACACAGCAGCCTCTGGTGGATTTGCAATAACAAAAATCTGCGATCAGACGTACCTCCGGTTATGTTTTTAGCTGTCCCCTGAAATGTATACAGGGGTATATATCCACAATAAGCCTGGATTGAAAATATGCATTGTGTGGGCAATGAGATCTTAACAAACAATATATAGTGTGTTAAAACAGCAAAAGAACCGATGCACTCTGATGGTGGGGTGCGTTTTTAATCATCATCCTCTTGCCCTGTGTGTCTCTTAACAGAAAACAAGTCTGCCTTGAGTCAAAGGAGGGATCCATTAGTGCATGGTTACATTTATACAGAGCACAGGATGGGAAAAGCCTCATTACTTCATAAAACACAAGGAGTGGATCACAAGCGCATCCCATAACAACCACACCAGACAGCGCAGATATCGAAAATTACAAAGCAGATTTGAGTAAACAAGAGCAGCGCCGGTAGCTACGCAGAAACTGTTTCTGTGGGAGAACACACACTTGATAACGGCGGGAAATGAAAGACATATCAAATTAATAAACCAGTCCCAGACAGTCACAATTTGTTTGCTCCACCTAAACAGCATTTTCAAGGGTTGAAAGCTCACTGAATAGGGATAATACCCTCACCAGTCAATTTAGTAAGTACACTTTGCTAGTACCGGGTTGCTTCTGAACTGCCTTGATTCTTCTTGATAGATGTTGAAAATTTTTTGCAGCAGACTTGTCGGCTGCACTTATATGATGCAAATCCCTAGCTCCAACATCCCCAGGTTGCTCTACTGAATTGAGATCTGGTGTCTTTAAAGGTCATTTGAGGCTAGTGAACTCATTGTCATGAAAGCAGTTTGAGATGACTTGAGAATTGTGACTCGTCACTTTTCTGGCAGTACAAAGGATTAGTAATAATACTCTGTTGGTAAGCTGTTACAAGCTCAGTTGGTACTAAGGGGCATAAAGTGTGCCAAGAAAATGTACACACAGATATCACCTATATACTATACAAAATGTAGGTTGACCATGTTTATATATAACAATTTAAATTGTTAAAAGGTATTAGTTAGTAGTTATTTAAAGTTATTAGTACCTAATAGATTGTTTTCAATCATGTGGTTCTGGTGATGCGCGGAATTCAGATGGAGAGCAGGAGATAAAAAAAAACTGAATGGGGAACATAGAGGAAAGTCTGTATTTTTGCAATTTATACTATATTTTAAAGGAGATATAAATAGAAAACAACCACATACAGTATGTTGGGAATAATCCTTATGTCATGAAGAAGACCAAGTTTTCTATGAAGCTACAATATATTTGCCATCGAGACAATAGATAGCCCTTATAGTAAGTACTATATTGTTTTGGAACATACTGTGGTAATAAATTATCCATTAGGCATTTTAGTAATTAAACACCATCACAAAGCACCACAGTTTACACTAACGTTACAGTATTTATTAGAGTTTATTAGTGTACCAGTATTCTGTAGCATTTATTAACAAAGAGCTGTACTATAGAATATACACTTTACTATCCACTTGTTAAGTGGTGAAGTGTTTGGGACGTATGTATACTGTTTCCGGGTCCAAGCCGCCATTCATTTGAGTGGAGAAATCATTCGTTTATGATCACGTTTTATTCCCATCACACATTAAAGTTAATTTTATATAAAATCGTAGTGTATACACAACAATCTCTGGGCTTGCTGCATAACAAATACCAAAAATTTAACAATTTATAAAAAATGTATCACTTTTTCGCCATCGGATATTTGGCATGGACATATATACTGCGATCGTGATTTTCGAAAGCATTAAATCGTTTTGTAAACGTTTATTATTACCATTTCATGAGTCTCCCCATTCAGTTGAATGGAGCGCTTGGACCCGGAAGCCGATTCACGTGACGTCACATTTAACAAGCAGATAGTGTGTGTTACGAGAACCAGCGATCGCTCTCCGGAGATCGCTGGTTTCCACTATACTTGGACTACACTTCCGCCTTCTCCTGGACTACATTTGCATACATGCACTTCGCCCAGACACCCATGCTCACCTATCTCGCTTGATTACACTCACCACCTGAACCTTGTCATAGACTGATAGCATTCCATACATAAGCCACTCATGATCCAGTCCAGTTTGCCGAGTCTTGTTTGCTACATAGTGACATTACAACGCCTTTCCCGTCTTGTTTTCTCCTTGTTAGACCTTAGCCTTGTATTTCCTGTTCTCCTGTTTAGCCGCCTGCCTTTTGACCTGTTGCCTGTTAATAAGACTACGATTTTGGATTTGCCTGCACATACCTGTTAGTACCTGATTTGTCCACTGCTTGCCTGTCGCTGAATAAACCTGCTTATTGGATCTTACCTCCTGTTGTATCTGTCACTCTACCCCGTCGTTACAGAGTGGTTCAAAAATATATTATAAATTACTATAGTTTTTTTTTTTTCATGCGGAAAACTTTCTATCTTCCAGACATATACATGAAAAAACAAACAAACAGATGAAAGCAAATAAAAGCGTGGATGCATAGTCCCATTATTATTATTATCATAATTTTTATATATATTTTTTTGGTTGATGGTATACGGTGTTCCACAATAATAACTGTCTAGTTTTGCTCACAAGAGTGCTTAGAAAGAAAATTATATTTATTTAAAGATATTTAAATGTTCCTATGTATATTTAAATATAATATGTATCAAATTCAATAATGTAGTACAATATAAATTCCAAAAATTATATAAATGCTGCTTATTTTTGTGGAATTTTTTTATTTAGGATT